AAAAGACCTTTATTTGTTTTCCTTAGCTCCTTAACTTGGCATCAATTTAATCAATTCATTTTTATTGAGCACATACTATGTACCAGGCAGTGGACAAGGTTCCAGGAATAGAAATGCCAAACAATATTTTCCCTCTCCTCAAAAAGTTGCGTCTAGAGGAGTAGCATATAGGCAAAAATATTGTTAGCAGGTCCTTCGCAGCCTGGGGTTAAGAATACAATGTTAGTGATAGTAAAGAGTTTTCCCCTGGTTTTGCTCCCTCCTGCCCTGAGGGAATTCCAGCCCCTGCAAATTCCTCTCCAATATTTCTGGGAGCAATAACAGAACGCCTCTGGTGGACTAGTTCTCTCACAGTCTTTCTCTCGGGAAGCATTATCATCCTGTCCGGCCACAGCTAACTGTGGGGATGTTTCCCTTTGCTCTAGGAATTAAAGAGGAAGCTGTGGAGTGGTGCCGGGGCCACCACAGCTGGCATTGGGGCAGGAGAGCCTTCAGCTGGCTGATGCCTGATGTCAGGCTCCAGCTGGACTGTGCTGCCTTTTTGGGACTCCACTGATGTTACCTTGGCCCCAGGCACCATATCCTGTCATTGTGAAGGCTGCAGGTACCATCACCAAGGAGCTCTAGTTCTGGCAACATCCTACTAAGTTGGAGATGGGGGTGAGCCAGGCTCTACAACTAAAGGGAGAGGGCAATGCTCAGTGGGGGCGTGAGCACAGATGACAGGGCCACTCTCTCATTAACTTCTGTGTCTTGCTTTTACACTACTTCTTCCAAGTCTTGTTATTGTGACCTTAAAAAAATCACACCATCATTTAGTATTTATGAGAAAGGAACGATTTTCAGATAATGCTTTCTCCATCGGCCATCTCTTCTTTTCATGCTAATCTTACCTCTCTCCCATATAAATAAGAGCACTCCACTCCCAGGGTGGATAGTATTGGGATATTCCTTTAGAACCTTTACGGTTCCCTATTAAGTGCTCATCTCTGTGCAGGAGGGAATGCTGTTATTGATGATGTTTGATGTTTGATAATTGTACTGAGGTTAGTGCATTGAGTAATCTCTCTCTCTCTCTCTCTCTCTCTCTCTCTCTCTCTCTCTCTCTCTCTCTCTGTCTCTGTCTCTCTGTCTGTGTCTCTCTCTCTCCCCCTCCCCCTGCTTCTTCCCCATCTTATCCCACCCCCAACTCTCTTCCTCTTAAACCTAAACCCTGGAGGTGTGGAGACAGTTGAGAAAGCTCTTTTCCATTTGTATTCAAGATATGCTCTCTAAGACTTCATCATTTGTAAAGCTGTTATTTTGATCTGGCTGATTCTATTGTTTGGTTAGAAACCTCAGTTGGAGGAGGATGTTTATTCCAACCCTCTAACATGTTACTTTTCCATTTTGCTTGCTTTTGGTTTATTGCCCCTGGCTCTAGGGTTGGGACACCTGGGGTACCAGGGGCTGGTCCAAGACTCTAGGAGCGATCTTCTCTCCCCTCCAATATTAAGTTGCTTTTATCAAGCTGGTGTGCTTTGCATCCTGATATATTATTTTCTTCTTTGGAAGTTTTCTGATCTACCTCATCAGTCCTTTTATGAGGTCTGAATTTTAAAGAGTAAGCTAGTTTCACCCTACCCAGGAACCCTGGTACTCATTCCAAGGTGATAACTGTTCCAGTGCAGAGTTTTTCACCTTCAAAACTGTTGATATTTTGAACTAGAGAATTCTTTGTTGGGGGAGGAGCTGTCCTGTAGAATGTTAGCAGCCTCCTTGGCTTCTCCTCACTAGATGTCAGTAGCACTCCCTCCTCCCCCACCAGTTGGGAAAACCAAAAATGTCTGCAGACATTGTCACATACCCTGGATTAAGAACTATTCTATAGGAAAAGGAACAAAGCGAAGCAGGAGCAGAGAAGTGCCTGTCTTTCTGGCAGGGTCAGTGGAGGCTTCTCAGGGGAAGCAGCATTTGAGCTGAGCTTTGTAGGATGTTACCTAGCGGTCACAGAAGAGTTTTTAAGGTAAAAAAGGGAGGTGTTCATGGCCTCCTGTGATGTCTTCTTGACCGAAAGCAGATTCCTACCACTCTGCGTGACCTCGAACGTTTTAGGAACCGCCAGCAGAGGCCTGGCTCCTCCCTGTCTCAACGCTTTTCCTCATTCCACACGAGTGGGTTCCATGTCCATACATCCAAACTCTGCCTTTGCTGGTTGTACATACTATGCCGTGCACCATCTTTGAAAAAGCATTAGATTTCCAAAGCAAATTCTTCTAGATGGGGGTTACTTTCTCTTCAGCATCATGTCTACACTTTGGATAAGATGAAGGAGTAGGTAGGTTATGCTGTAAGTTGTAAGTCTGATACACTGGATCTAGTATTGTGGAGAATTTTAGGCAACACTTCAGATTATCATCTGATAGTTTGTCAGTTGTTGCATAATCATTCATGAGAAGAGACCTAAGTTCTACCTCACCTGGGATATGACTCATTTATTGACATACTGATATAGGGGTGGAGTAGGAGGTAATCTGCAAGGAGTGTGGGAGGAAGAAATTGACAGCATCCTCCTCTGGGTTGCTAAACTCCAGGGTACCACCGGTCGGGGGTGGAGTCTCACAGCAGGGATAAATGAATCACATGGAAACATCAATGAGTTTGCCCATTTATTGATGCCATACAACGGCAGGCTATGATTACAGTCTGCTTTTAAATATTAGGGTACCCAGTGGGGTACTCCTTGAGGCTGGGCCTGGCAAAGCAGCACAGAGATGCAGAGAGGGCAATGGGTTGGGCCATATACATCATATAACCACTTTGGAGGATAATAATAGGTAGAATTGTGCTTCCCCAACCATGTTTTTTAGTGGTATAACTTAAAATAATAATACTAACAATATTAGAATTAGCAATACAAAAACCAGGAATAGCATCAAATATGTTAGCTAAGTTGTAGCACCAGACAGTTCATGTTACGTGGTCTCTTGAAAGTGACTCTCCGTCCACTGTGTGCGAGACACAGTCCCAGGACTTCATCTTCATGTCAGAAGCGAGAAGAACTGAGACCTGCAATCTCTGGGGTGGCAATGTGTAGCTTTGGAGGATTTTAGCCAATTGGAAAATTATGATCTGAAACAATCTAAATCCCTCACGTTATTTCAGAAACTTGAGTTATCAAAAACGTTCACTAAATATCTGAAAGCATCACATTGGGATGATTCCACCAAGGAGAGACTTGGGTGTCGGGAGATTGGATGGAGGTATGCTCTTGTTTAAGAAAACCCATCATAAAACAAGTCAGTCCTACGAAGAGGCAGTTGTTTGTGTCATGAAATGATTTCCTGTTTTAGAAAAGGATTCACTAGTCTCTTGAAATATTGTTTTCTCAATTGAATTACGTTACGTTAATGTTCAAGAATTAACTCAATTGAATTACGTTAATGTTCAAGAATTAACTCAACTTTCCAGAGAAGAGCTAACTCTTGTCACTGTGAAAGGCAATGTAAACCAAACTGAATTTGAGAACCTTAGTGTATTTGAGCACCAGGCCCTGTGGCGGCCCTCTCTGGTTCATGACAGACATGTATCCAGTGTCTCTTGTTACACTTCTCACTTGCTTGTTCAAGTTGGGAAGGAAGGAAGAACATGGATGAAATAAACCAACAATGCTGCTTCATGTTGGCCCCTGTGAGCACCAAAGAAACGGCAAAGACACCATCTATGTTCTTGTCTTCAGTCTCCCCATTAATCTGAGCCTCCTCTCTTATTACAAGCATCAGGTCCTGTCAAAACCCTGATGATCCAAAGCTGAGTGATTGTCAAGGCAATGACCATATCAGACAACTCCAATAGCAAGTGCTATCTTTATCCTGGGGTCCAGACTCATAGATGCCACACAACTGTCTTACAGGACAGCCTCAATACAGGAAGTGCATGTCCATGATGCATGAATAGGGGCCAATATTCTCCTTTTGAGAAACTGGAGAAAGGCCTAGAATGGAGCCTTACATTTCTACCATCTTCGCCACGTGGGTCATAAATAACATTTTTGTATTTTGGGAAATCCTGCCTAGTTTGTTGAGGTCAGTAGGAAGCCGAGTTTGTTCCTGAGTTTTTCAGACTGGTCATATCAGGTCTGATGAAATGTATAACCCTATGATAGTACAGTACAGATTCAATCAATCCGGTTTACTAAATTAATCCCCCTGAAAGCCTACACTATACTTTAAGGACAGTCTTTGCGAATTGCAGCATTAGAAAAAATCAGGTTCTCCTCTACTCGTGTCACTAACAATTTAAGCATCTTCTCTCTAAAACTATTATTTCACCAGAGATTGTACTGGCCAGCAATGTTTATATTTAAAGACAGAGAATACAAGACTGTAATTATTATCTAGAAATAAATTCCCTGGCTTTAGGTAAACTTTCCTCCCATTTCTAGTCGATCTTAAATTTCATTCCAACCCCAGTGTTTTATGTTCCACAGAAATTTATCAGAATAGTATACATTGATGGCTTGAAAAAATAAAAAGCACATAATATAAAAATTTTAAGCTTCTGGTATGCAAGCAGAACTGGCATTGGCCAGCAACACCATTATACATTTAACAGAAGATGTATAAGGACTTGCCCATTTGTACATCTACTTATACGTTTATATTAGTTCTGCCACCATCTAGATGTTAGCACCATTTTTTGATAGCACCATTCTGCTGAAAGGATAGATAATTCAAGGGAGATATGGGACACTGTGCTCCATGGTGAACATTAACTGCACCTGTGCTTGAATCTGAAACTATGCCACCCCATTACATGAAGGCCACATCCCTCCCTTCCCCTCTGTCAAGAGCTGATTCTGAGAGTTTCTTCCCCTTGAAGCTCCTCCCACTCCGTTCTCCCCTCCCCGACACCCTCCCCAACCCCACCCCGCCCCGTCCCCATCCAGTTCATGTAAATACCTAACCTTAGAAACCAGGAAATTTGCCTTGAATTTGAGACCACTGTTTGGGCTCCTGATGGGTGGTGGGAAGATTTAGAACAAATCTTTTATTTCAATTTTTTGGACTCCTCCTGCCTGGCCTGCTCCCTGCGGGTAAAAGACCCTCAAAAGTAACTACTAGGTGCACTTTACATAGGTCATCTTTACCCCACTTTTGAGAAGTTTTTTTTTTTCTTCCAGGCTAGAAATTTGTACTAAGTTCTTGTACTTAAATCAGTTTACCTCCTTCTTTGGAATATTTCCTCAGGAACACCATTTTCCAACCTGAGCTGATTGATGACTCAGGCAGGGACTATGCTGAGGGAAAGTCAGACAGGAAGACTCATTTGCTTTTTTGCAAAGGAATGGGCAGAATAAAGGCCCATGTTCCCTTTCTTTTATAGTTGCCCCTTGAACAACGCAGGGGTTGGGGTGCCGAACCCCATACAGTTAAAAATCCACATATAACTTTTGACTCCCCCAAATGTAAATTGTCCCATGGTATCCATGGGGTATTAGTTCCAGAACCCCCGCCAACAGATACCAAAATGCGTGGATGCTCAAGTCCCCTATATAAAATGGCGTAGATCAATGCACATAGCCAGCCCTCCATATCCACAGACTCCCAACTGTGGATGGAAAACAGTAAAGCTGTTAATTGAAAACATCTGCGTGTAAGTGGACCCATGCAGTTCAAACCTGTGTTGTCCAAGGGTCAACTGTACTAGCAAGAAATTGACTTCTGTTCATTTGCTTTTTAAGAGAGTTCATGCAAATTATCCTTGGGTCAGAAGTGTCTTCTGTGTAACTAACCTAAATCCCTTAGGTTTACTAAATCTTAGTTTCTGCCTGTTTCCTCTTATTCTAGTGTGTCTAGGTGGGCATGGGAGTCTGAAGAGCCCAAAGGTCCACTCTACAGGGATTAGGGACAGACTGACAGATGTAGCCAGCACTTTCTCTTCTTCCCTAGTTGAATAGTAGGTGAAGAAAGTGGTCCTCTGTCTGAATGAATTAAAGGAATGTTCCTAAAAGTTCACCCATGACATTTTAAACAGCAGCTGCCCTGAACAGAGTGGCAGAGAGAGAGAAAAAAAAGAATGATTCTCCCAAGGTCAGTTAACAAGATTCTTTGTTTCCTGAATAAGTGTGGCTTTGTTTCTTGATACTTTTGAGGTAGTATGGGAAAAATCTGGTCTCTTTGTTTTTCTCTTTGGGTAGGGGGAGACATCATTTCATAGACTTGCCTAGTCTGGCACCTTTCCTAGGAGCTAGACCCAGGAGATGCCTAATTCTCCTGGGTATCTCACCTGCCCATCAGGGAACAGCAAGTGTTACAGTCCCACGCCTCCTGTGAGGGACATTTTCTGGCCAATGAAACACAGTGGATTTTGTTTTGTTATGACCCAAAGTTGGACCTGAAATGCACAGAATAAAATCTCCACGAAGTGGTCCCTGGGGCTAGAACAGGTCACTGTCAGTAGGCTGCAGCAGTCTATGGTGGCAGGTGGCTTTCTCCTGGATTTAGAATGCTTTAGGGTTTTTGAGTGACTGTGGCTTTCTCAAAGGCCTTCGGGTGTGGACGACGTGTGTCTGGGAGCATGAAAGGCAGCACTGAGCCCGCACGGTGGGCACGGAACATTTCTTCATGGTTTTCAGTGTCTGGCAGAAACTGGCTGATAAGTTGTCCTTGGTGCAAAGCACATCTGTGGGAGGAGATAAAAGTAAAGAAACACCAAAGATTATCCTTGTAAGTAACTGAGCACGACTTTTACTAATGGAAGACTTTTTATGTTATACGGCTACCAAGAAAGGCTCCATAACAGTCCATAATAATAAACTGAACATTTATTATGTATTGGTGCAAACTGTTTGTTAAACTGAATTATCACTTAGGATTCTTCACTCCCCTGTAGCAGTGTTAAACATTCCCACCCTTGCCGTGGCCACCTGGTGGGTGGTGGATATTTCCGTACTTCTCGACTTTGGGTTCAGCCCTATGACTTGTGTTAGACAATGGGATGTTAGTAGACATGATTCTTGTGGGGTCTTAGAATGTGCAGAGGATGAGACTGTTCTGACAAGCTTCTGCCGTCACCAGGAGAACAACCTGGCTTATGCAGCCACTGAACCAAGGAAGATAAGAGACTTAAGAAGTTGACCTAGACCTAACCTACAGCTTGCAGCCAAGGCCTAGATAAATCAGCTGAACCTTAGCTGACCCCAGTATGTGAGTGTAGTTTTAAAGCCCCGAGTTTAGAGGTGTTTTGATGTGCAATGCTGTTACTCAACAGCTGAATGCAATGTTTTACAAGCGTCGCTTCATTTAATCTTCACAGCAGTACTGTCAGGTAAATACAACTGTTTTTGCTTTGTTTTGTTTTGTCTTACAAGTGAGGAGTGTGAGGCCTCCAGAAGTTAAGAACTTGCATGTTATCCGGCTGATAAGTGAGTGGCACAGCTAGATCTAGACACAGGCGGTACTGACCCCAGATGTCTTCCTGTTATCAGTCATACCACTCAGAGTGCCATGCCATCACCCAATTAGCCAACTAACCAGTGCATCCTGAGTATCATTCAGCAGTGAGCAAAGCGTCACTGCTTCAGAAATGTCCCATGGAGATAAAGGCAGCAGACATATACCAATAATTCCCATAATAAGTATACAATTAGTTACCTGGGTTCTACTCCTCATTCTACTGGTAACTAGCTCTGGGCAAGTAAGTCCTTTAATTTGGGTGGGGGGGGGGCGCCCTGCTCTCCTCATACCTGAAGCAGGGGATGAGACTAGATGTCTCAGGAACCACCGCCACACACGTGCTATGGGTGGGAGGGACTCAGACTGCACTGGCCCAGAAACTCCCGATCTGGAATTCAGTAAGGCCCGCAGAACAGATCTTTCTTCTACAAAGTGAAATTATCTCAAACTTTGCTTGAGTGTCTCTCAGAGCTCTGGTTGTCTGTCTTTCTCTTTTACAGAAAAGATTTGAATAGTCCTGAAGAAAAGCCTTTTCACAAACAGGCTACTGTCCTTTATAAAGAGAAATGTCAGTAAAAGTAGAATTTGAGATAATATCCTCTTCACTCAAAAACTGTGACAGTATTTTTGCCTCTCTGCTTTTTCACCTTCAGGTCATAAAGGCAAAAAATACTTTTTATCTCCTCAGAACACATTATCCCCTTGATGATGCCTTGTTTTTTTTTTTTTTTCTTTTTTTTAATGGAGAAATAAATGTCTTCTGTTATCTGTCAAATCCCATTTTGTGAGCAATAGGTAACATGTAATGCTCCTAGAATCCTAAATCTCTTCATTGCTCAGCCTTTTCTTCCCCAGGCCTCTTCTTACACCTCTGACATTTCAGAGAGAGGGTGTGTTTCAGGAAAGTATTCTTACTGTGGAAAGGAATTTGAGCTCTTCGTCTCCCACATCCCCACCATAGCAGCAGGCATTCTCCATGGGGCCTGGGCTGTGGGTCATGCGGACTGCTGTTCAGAATAAGGCAAGGTTTCCTTCCTACGCTTCTGGCTTTGGAACAGGGCCCAGCAAGGAAGCCTGGGTGACAGGGCTGTTCCAATTTCTCAGCTCTCTGAAGCCTTTGTGGATGGTGGATGGAGAAGGTGCATCTGGGGCAGCTCTTTCACACTCTCCCCCCTTTTTTTTTGCCATGAGTATGTGAGTGCTGTGGGGCTACTTCCAGAGAAGTGTGAAAGCTCAGCTTACATCCCTTCTCTCCACAAAGCTTCTTTTGGCCATGCTGGATCACATTGATCCCGTCTACCCCAACCTCCAAAGTGGTATTATTCCTGTGTCATTTGCTCAAACGTGGCCCTACACTCTATCTTGAACTGTCCTGTGAATATGTGCAAACCTTTTCTGCGAAGGCCTACAGTGTGATCTCTCTCAAGGGTGTCTACCATTACAAAAGGGCCCCCTAGAGACCGCTAAAGTCCTTAAATTATATCCTCCGAATATTGTGTCCCCCAAAGTTGAAGTCCTAACATCACTGTAACTGTAAATATGACCTTGTTTGGAAATATTTCTTTTATTTATTTTGTCTTCAAAAAATTTTTAATTGTAGTTGACATACAATATTATATTAATTCTAGGTATACGATGCAATGATTCAGCATTTATATACCTTACAAAATGATTACCACAATGAGTCTAGTAACCATCTGTCACCATATATCGTTATTATGATAGTTTTAACTCTATTCCCTATGCTGTACACTACACTACATCCCTGGACTTATAACTGGCCATTTGCACTTCTTAAGTCCCTTCCCCTTTTCCATACCACTCCCTCCCCTCTGGCAACCATTCGTTTGTTCTCTGTATCTGAGTCTGTTTGTTTCATTTGGTTTGATCATTTGCGTTGATGTTCAGATGCCCCATACCATCTGATTTATTTCACTTAACATAATACTCTCCAGGTCTATTCAAGTGGTCACAATTGACAAATTTTCATTCTTTTTATGACTGATTAATATTTCATTGTATATGTACCACATCTTATTTATTCAATCTTCTATCGATGGACACTTAGGTTGCTTCCCTACCTTGCCTATTGTAAATAATGCTGCAATGAACATAGGGATGTATATATCTTTTCAAATTAGTGTTTTGGATTTCTTCAGTTAAATACCCAGAAGTGAAATTGCTGGGTCATAAAGTAGTTCTATTTTTAATTATTTGAAGAACCTCCATACTGTTTTCTATAGTGACTACCCCAATTTGCAATCCCACAAACAGTGCACAAGGGTTCCCTTTTCTCCACGTCCTCACCAACATTTGTTTTTTGATTTATTTATGAAAGCTCTTCTGACAGGTGTGAGGTGATGTCTCACTGTGGTTTCAATTTGCATTTCTCTGATGATTACTGACATTGAGCACATGTCTATCGGCTATCTGTATGTCCTCTTTGGATAATGTCTATTGAGATCTTCTGCCCATTTTTTTAAAAATCAGATTTTTGGAGGGTATTAAGTTGTATGAGTTCTTTATATATTTTGGATATTAATCCCTTACTGGATGCATCATTGGAGAATATCTTCTCCCATTTGGCAGGTTGTCTTTTTGTTCCATTGATGGTTTCCTTTGCTGTGCAAAAACTTTCTAGTTTGATGTAGTCCCATTTGTTTATCTTTTCCTTTGTTTCCCTTGCCCGAGGAGATATAGTGGAAAAAAATATTACTAAGAGCAATGTTAGAGAGTTTACTATGTTATCTTCTAGGAGTTTCATGGATTTGAGTCTTACATTTAAGACTTTAATCCATTTTGGGTTTATTCTTGAATATGGTATAAGAAAGTGGTCTAGTTTCATTGTTTTTGCATGTATCTGTCCAGTTTTCCCAATACTACTTATTAAAGCCTCATAACCAGTGTTTTGAACTCTTTATCTAGTTATCTTATTTCCATTTCATTAGGGTTTTGTTGTTTCACTTGGAACATATTCCTCCATCTCATTTTGGCTGTCTCTCTGTGTTTGTTTTGATTAATCAGGTGAAGCAGCAATCTGTCTTGGTCTTGAAGAAATGGCCTTGTGTAGAAACTTTGTAAGCTTTGTAGACTGCATGTGCCAGGTGTCCTTGGCAGGCCAGCTGGAGCTGTAGTGGGCAGGGACCATCGGGAGGCTTCAGGGCATGCTGCACTGGTGCCGTGTTGGCAAGCTGGTTGGAGCTAGGGCAGGTCCCAGCTGTGGAAAGTCCTTGGGCAAGCTTCATCAGGGCCACTGTGGTGGGCCATCTGGGGCTGTAGCTGGGGCAGGTTGAGGCTGAGGGCAGTCTTGGGGGGCTGCCTTGGCAGAGTGGATGAAATTGTAGCTGAAGCAGGAGTGGTCTGCGGGAACTCCCAAGGAGAAGCCAAACCAGGACTGGAGCTGTGGCTAAAGTAGGTGTGAACCGTGGGGAGTCCCACGGGCGAGCTTCACCAGGACCACCTTGGCAGCTTGTTTGGAGCTGCACTTGGAGTCAGCTCTGGCTACAGGGAGTCCCAGGATCAAGTCAAGCAAGGGCCACTTTGGCAGGTTGCTTGGAGCTGTAGCTGAAGTGAACGTGGTCTGCGGGAGGTCCCAGGGACCAGCCAAACGGGGGTGGGAGCTGTACCTAGAGTGGTTGAGAACTGTGGAGAGTCCCAGGGGCAAGCCACACTGGGGCTGCATTGGGAAGCCAGCTGGAAGCTGTAGCTGGAACAGGCTGAGAGGAGACTTGAGGGTGAGCTGTGCCAGGACCCAGAGCTTTAGCTGGAGTGGGTGCAGGCCATGAAGAGTCCCGGGGACAAGCCCGGGAGCTGTCTATTGATGGACACTTAGGTGATTCTGGGGTTTGGTACATATTCTGATGGCCTTGGCTGGCTGGCTAGAGTGCCTGGATCACGCTCCTGCCCATGTGATCACAGTGAAGGGAGAAGGTAACAAATGATGCTCTTTGGAGCTTCTCACACTGGAGAGAGTTCCTGCAGTTCCTCTCTCAATTGGCCAGTGTTCTAGGATTTGTAAATGAATTTCCTTCCCATACAGTTTAGGTTTCCTTTAAACCACTGTTTTTTCGCAGTGCCCATGGCTGGGCTAGTCTGAGCGTGATCCCTCTATACTGCAGGTGAGTGCATTGTCTCTGTCTCTCATACCCATTTGCAAGTGGCCTCTCTCATTAGTTGTGCAGAAGCTATTCAGTCAGCCTTCAACTCTTCTTTGGGAGAATTGCTGTC